TATTGATAACAACAGCAACAGCAACAGTGACAACTAAAGCACACTCCTTTAATCTATAATCAGAGTATTCCTAAGTAGTCAGAGATTCCTTACTGTGGTAGTCAAAGCATTCCTTCCTAACTCGATAGAACGCTTCGTATCCTCCTTACGCATAATGTCCACTGAGGAAACAAGTTCAAGTAACAACAGTTAAGAGCGGTATCTACATCGGTGCCTTAGATTAGATGCCGTTGTTATTGCTGTTATTGATCTTGCTGGCGTTTATGCTTATGTTGTTGTTGTCGTCGTTGTTGTTGCCGTAGTAGTAAGTAGTTGTAGCACTAGTTCTAGTTAACCCTGCAGTTGCAGTCGTTGTTATTGATTCTATTGATAACAACAACAACGGTAACAACAACACCAACGGCACCAGCAACAGTGACAACTAAAGCACACTCCTTTAATCTATAATCAGAGTATTCCTAAGTAGTCAGAGATTCCTTACTGTAGTAGTCAAAGCATTCCTTCCTAACTCGATAGAAAGCTTCGTATCCTCCTTACGCACACTGTCGACTAAGTAAGAAGACTTAAGAGCGTTATCAACATCGTTGCCTTAGATTAGATGCCGTTGTTATTGCTGTTATTGATCTTGCTGAACGATAAGCCCATCGTGTGCGAAATGGAGCTCGCGTGTGCCGCAAAGACAATTCCGGAAAAAGACTTTCCAGACGTCAATTACTTGCTGCCACCCGAGGCACCACTAAATAAAAATCAAAACGCCGTTAAGCAAATTCTTTGCCAAAATGTATTTGACGAGATCAAGCAAGCCGCTTCTCGATCATTTCTGCTGCATCGCCCGGACTACAGTAACTCGTTTATCCTGCAAACTGACGCAAGCCAAACTAGTAGGTACTAGAGCACTTGAGACCACCCCCACTCCTCCTTTTCCCTCCCCCCTCCTCTTCCCTGCCAGCCAATCCTGAAATACCTGAAGAGGGCGCAGGTATCCCTGAGCTGCAGGAGTTCCAGCGGTATCTCTCCGACTACCGCATCGTCGTGTACCAGTACAGTAGCAAGGGGCGTGACATGATATTTAAGGGCTCCACAGAGGGTCCCTCGTTAAATTTAATGTATCACAAGGGGCACTATAATGTTATCACCTCGCTGACGGCTGCCTTCTGCTGTGATTAATATTGCAGTGATTAATATTGCCAGGTCCCATATAATACTAAAAAAGATCATAGGTGTGGCGGCACCTGCCCGGCATGCCAACAGTCCCCAGTATATCCCGAAGACATTGCCGTTACCTGTTCCGAGTGTCAGCGTAGCTTCAGAGGCCGACAATGCTACGACAAACATAGGAGCCAGGGATCAATGGGAAAGAGCTCGGTTTGCGAGCAGATTCGCCGTTGCCCCGACTGTCTCAAGGTGGTAAAAAAAGGCAGAACCCATATTTGCGGCGAAATTTTTTGCAAGATATGCAACGTCCATGTGCCGGCTGATCATCTGTGTTACATGCAACCCAACACAGGGAAGCCTAAAACCGACGGCCTTCTCTTTGTATTCTACGATTTGGAGACCCGGCAAGAGAAGGCGCAAGAAGATGGTTCCCTCCTGCATGAACCAAATCTCTGCGTTTTTAAGCAATGCTGCGACACATGCCTCAACACGCCACAGAAAATTTGTAGTAAATGCGGTGTTAGACTGCAGATTTTAAGGTGCAACGACCCCATTTCACCATTCCTCCACCACCTCATAACCATGAGGAAAAAATTCAAGCAGGTGGTGGTTATGGCTCACAACGGGCAAGCCTTCGACCACCAGTTCTGCCTCAACTACATCCTGACGCAGACGGACCTCACCCCCGAACTCATCATGCGAGGGACGAAAATAATTTCCATGGTCATGGAGAACGTAAAGTTCCTGGACAGTCTAAATTATTTCCCCATGGCGCTGTCCAAGTTGCCCAAGGCTTTCGGCTTGGGTGATAATTTAAAGAAAGGCTATTTCCCCCATCTTTTCAACACTGCAGCCAACGCAAATTACGTGGGTCCCCTACCAGCCGCCGAATACTATGACCCCGATAATATGAAACCGGAAGATCGCTCCAAGTTTCTCGAATGGCACGAGGAACATAAAAACGACGAGTTTAACATGCAGCGCGATCTCGTCGAATATTGTATATCAGACGTGGAGATCCTAACGGCAGCATGTCTCAAGTTCCGACAGCAGCTGATGGAAACGGGAAACGTCTGCCCGTACACGGAAGCCTGCACCATAGCCTCTGCCTGCAATAAGGTGTATAGGCGCAATTTCCTACAGCCGAACACCATCGGCATCATCCCCAAAGGCGGCTACAGATGGCGCGACAATCAAAGCAAGATAGCTATCCAATGGCTTGTGTGGGAGGAACACCAGCGACAAATAAACATCCAACACGCCGCTAAACAGCAAGAATCTCGAGTCGCTGGTGTAAAAGTCGATGGGTATGCCGCAGAGAGCAATCAGGTGTTTGAGTTCCACGGCTGCTACTATCACGGCTGCCCCGCGTGTTACAAGCACAATCGAGACATCCCCATGCCTGAAGATCCTTCTCAGACATTAAACACTCGCTACGAAACCACCATAGCAAAAACATCAAGACTTCTAGGCCTTGGTTACGAGGTCGTTGAGATGTGGGAATGTGAGTTTAGGCGTAACCTTCAGAAGAACGACTACGAAATCCGCAACTATACCGAAAACCATCCACTCGTAACCCTAACACCGCTAAACCCTAGAGATGCTTTCTACGGAGGCCGTACAGGGAACACAGTCGAATACTACAAGTGCGGTCCAGGGGAGAAAATCAAATACGTCGATGTCTGTTCCCTCTACCCCTGGGTCTGCAAGTACGGCAAGTTCCCCATAGGACATCCAAAAGTTTATGTGGGTGAGGAATGCCCGACAGATCTGAGCATTGTTGACGGGGTAATTAAATGTAAGATCCTCCCGCCCCAGAATCTGTACCACCCTGTGCTCCCTACCAAGATGAACAATAAGCTGCTGGTTGTTCTCTGTCGCACCTGCGGAGAACAAATGAATAAAGGCGAGTGCCAGCATAGCGACGAAGAACGAGCTCTGACAGGGACATGGATTGTCGACGAAGTTCAAAAGGCCGCTGAAAAAAGGTATCGTCTGTTGGAGATCCGCGAGATATGGTCTTATCAAATAGATCAATACGATAAGGCTGCAAAGACTGGAGGTCTCTTCACCAGTATGATGAACAAGTTCGTCAAGGTAAACAGCAGGCGTCCGGTTGGCCCGCCCATTGTACCACATACGAGGAGAAGGAGCGTTACATCGAGCAATTTTTCGAGAGGGAAGATGTTAAGTCGAGTTTGCGGAGATCTTGGAGAACCCAGGGCTACGGTCTCTCGCAAAACTCATCTTGAACAGTTTTTGGGGAAAACTGGAACAGAGGGAGAACCAGCTCAAAACATCCATCGTAAGAAACCCCTCAGAATTCTTCGGTATGCTCACCAACCCCAGCATCTACGTTAACTCGGCGCTCCCTATCAACGAAGACACTCTCGTCGTCAATTGGGAGCACAAGGAGGAGGCCTACGATCCACTCACCACTGTAAATGTCGTCATTGCTGCTTATGTTGCCACTCAAGCCCGTCTTAAGCTGTACAGTTACCTGGAGCAGCTGGGCGACAGGGTCTTGTATTACGATACGGACTCTGTCATTTACATGGCCAAAGATGGAGAATACGGCGTACCAACGGGTGAATTCCTCGGCGACATGACGGACGAACTGGAAGGATACGGACACGGGAGCTATATCACAGAATTTGTAAGCGGAGGGCCCAAGAACTACGCATATAAGGATGTCTCTACCAGGGATAACGAAGAGAAGGTGGTGTGTAAAGTTAAGGGTATATCCCTTAACTACACCACATCACAGCTGATAAATTTCGATACCATAAAAGATATGGTGTTGGACACTTCCACCACCAGCCCGGTATGCGTAGCCTCAAGAAACATCTTGAGGACCAAGGAGCACGAGGTGATAACCGTACAGCAAACCAAGCTATATAAACCTCTCTCCGTAAAGAGACAGTTCCTGGACGACCACAGCTCGGTGCCCTACGGATGGAAAAGATCTAAGCTTTAACCTGTTTTTCTATGTGACTTGTGTGTGTAACATTCTGTATATATTTACTAACTTGTATTCTAATTTAAATAAAAAATTAATTTTATCGCTGCTTTTAATTTTCCTCGTAATTGTGTGGGTGTGTGTCTGAGATACTAATAGTAGAGAGAGAGTTGAAAAACATTTCTCAATCAAATTAAATCAATCACGTCTTTCAAGTTAATATTGCAAAAGGCGGAAATAAAAAAATAGAGTAGCATAATTAAATTTTATTAAGGATATCTGTACATAACATTACAATACATTTCACCGTAATTTTTACATTTGCATTTTTTAAATAAATTCTCTAAGGCTTCATTACTGCAAAACGCCGTAAACTGTTCACGTTCTTTCACATGATCTACAAGGGCTGCAGCATGTCCTTTTCTACGATGCGCCTCCGCGTAAAAATGTAGTTGAACGTCTTTGGATTTGAATGCTTGTTGAAGGGGTCAAAGTTCATTTTAGACAGCAAGGCAAACGATACAGGTTTTTCGTCTTCATAATGTATATAACATGAAGGCTGTTTATCCAAGTACCATTGATTAATTAATACATCGTCGCGAATATTTAGCTTTCTTATCTCTCTCAAGGTTTTTGCTTTAAAGTAGAATGCTGTTTTCATTTTCACGACTTGTCACTACCAAGAACAAGACAAGAATGAGACGCTTGCTCAAAGTATTCTTCTTATGTAGGAGGAGGTAAGGAATTAAATTGCGCTCGTATTTTAATCTATTTCTAGCATTTTATTAACGTCATTTACAAACATTTCAATCGGTGTATTTACTAGTTTAAAATCATTGTATTTGCATGTAATATACGGTATTTCGTCCTTGATGCGATTAAAAAGGCTTATACTGTTGGGGTTATACTCTAAATCTGCCACAACGCGCGCTTTCGGGTGCTTCTTCTGTAGCCTCTTCANCTACCAACCGGCTAACTTTACTTCGCGTGACGGTTATCCAGTTTTGCGTGTCGGTTATCCAGTTTCGCGTGACGGTTATCCAATTTCGCGTGACGGTTATCCAGATTTGCCTGACGGTTACACAGTTTCGCGTGACGGTTATCCAGTTTTGCGTGACGTTTATCCAGTTTCACGTGCAGGTTATCGTTTTATTATCCTCAATTACGTAACGATTTAGTATATCTATCTTTTCCCATTCCGGATACTGCCTTTTCATATGTCACTTGTAGTAGTATGTCTATCTTTTTCTGTTCTATATCTGCATAGCGGAAGTATTATCTGCAAGTAACTATTTTCACGGAGGGTGATAGAGCCGTACATGTATCCTGTGTTGATTAGCAGAAATGTTCCACGTAATTTTTATTATCTCAAATAGATCTTCTGAGTGTAGTTCGTGTGGAAACTGTTAAAAGTTTGTCCTTATTACGTTTTTGCCTTAAAATATTTAAAATTATTATTATTAAAATTTTCAGGTAGTTCCAGGGAACTCGTGCTGAACGTACAGGAGGCTAGATACGCCGAGGTCAGGTCAGGTGTGTGTACTTCTATAATCAGACTTTTGGACACTAAAATGATATTTTTTTTGTATTCGTACCTTTCCAGCGTTACTCTCAATTTGTATATATTTCTGTTTTTATGCTGTGTTGTTGTTATTTGTTGTCTGAGTCCTCCCCAAGGGGTCGAGGTTGTTCCTGGAGTTTAGTTTAATGATTTCATATTTGCGTTATATTCAATCAATTCCACGCCCGTCGTTATGGCCTTGTTTATACAAGATAATCCTCTGTCGGGTTTTTAAATCGTTTTTTTCCTTTAAAATTCTCTATGTAGTTTTGAAACTCGTTTTGATTTATTATTTAATATCAGATTTGTGAATGCTTACGATCAGTTATCCCGATTCTTTCAATTTTTACAAATTTCTTGATCGGTGATTATTCGGAGGTTTACACCTCTTTTATGAGCTTTTAAGACTTGATATTAATCTGCATTAGTGTCAGGGTATATATACACAAATACTTAATTTGGCACTAGATATGAAATTAATCAGTCTTCAGACGTACCTTTCCAGCAGGTATATTGGACTCTTTATATGATCACTAGCTCCGGAAAAATCTCTATCATTTTTTCATCTGTAATTATTCCTGGTCTCTAAGTATTCTCTTACACGTTCTTTCTAAAGTAAAATAGGTATATTAGACAGTGGTAAGCACTTATTAAGTACTAACGCAGTCCTCTTATAATGATATGAAGCATTCTCAACCATTATCATCTTCATATTCTGTATTAAATACAAATTGACTTTTTAAGTATATAAACGTTAACCGATGCCTCGTTTTGCTTCTCTTTTTTCTTTTAATATTAAAATATTTAAAACAGTCACGACCTTTTCTACGATAGGATTGGGCATTAATAAATTTTCCACAAAAGTCTGTCTATTTTTGAATAGAATGAATACCTATATGCTTTTATATATTAATAACTTTGACTAATGATCTCTCTCTATGTCCCGGCCCTACATGTTCGCTATTCGGTTTTCCTGCTTGAATATCGGGTAATAGTCTGCTTTGTATGTCTGTTTATAAAAGTTCCTAATTGTGTAACAGCAACCTACATATAAACTACAAATCGTATATGCTCTTTACATTTCTTCTTCTTGATGCCATATGTTTTTGAAGCATATGTTCACTCTCCCTACCTAAGGCGAATATTCTAGTGTTAATACTACGCCTAAAATCCATCATTGAGGGTATATAGTCTCTATGAAATTGTGGTAGTTGTTAGTCTCTGTCGTTCACTAATTTGTTTTTGTTATCTCTCTCTTTCTCTCTCTGTTTTTTGATCTTTATGTTTTGTGGGCTTCCTTTGTTTTTCTTTCCATGTCCAATGGCTCACTTTATATTTTCGATACAACCGTTCCGTAGATGTAATTAATTGAATTCCCTGATATGGATCATATCCTCTTTTCTATATGTGAAATAATGAAACTTGAAACTTTTAATATAAAGACTAAATTTACACAGCTTTCTTCATTGAAATTGACGTATTCCCCGTGTGGTTTTAATTCGAATAATCAACTAGTTTGCGCCTAATCTAAATTTTTTAAGCTTTACGAAGTAACCATAATTAACGATTAATGTACTTTTGATTGTACCACCAGCCTGTACAAGTTCTAAAATCTGCGTTAATTTTTTAATAAATTTACCACTTATTTCGCAAATATCCATACTGTTTTGATAAT